AAATAAATAAATAAATAAATAAATAAATAAATAAATAAATAAATAAATAAATAAAAAATTAGGTAAAAAATAAATTAAATAACAAACAAAACCTGTCTGATTGTAAAGAACATAAGATCAGAACTTCCTTTAGCTATGTGCCTGCTGTACTCTGCTCAAAGTCCTTCAGTGCCCTACACTGTTGTGTGAAACCTACCGTCAAGCAGTTTGGGCTTGTGCACTAATGTTTTCTTAGCTATCTCTACTTAAATATCTAGTCAGCTTCTTTTGTTCAGTTCCCATTTAGTAATATTCTAGCTGTTTGCATTTTCTATTGCAATAAGACTTTGCTGTAATGCCTATAATGAAACGTGCTGTCAGTAGATAAGATATTATGCATCAGCATTATACAACAAGGACTGCAAAGACATGGGAAACAAAAAACATCGAAACCCTAATCTAGGTGAACATCTGGACCATCCGGCAACTAACTCAGTCCCTCTATATGTGTCAGTGTCCTCCATGTAAAGCATTGATAGTCACATCTTCTTTATAGATTTGTGCCAAGGATAGAGCAGGTGCTTGCAAAGGAGGCACACACCTTTGACATGGGAACTTCAGTTTTTTTAAAAAAATTATCAGTATTGTTCTCTTATCAAATGGCCTGTGCTCATCCTAACGTGTTCAGTCCTTCAAATATAAAATATAAACATGTGACAGATGCAGAGCATGGCATGTTATTGTCTTCTTCATCTCTTCTAAGCCAGCTTCCAAATATTAAAACTATTTGGGGAATCAGGGCATTGATCTGTGCCTTACAATATTAATTCTAGCTTTAGTTTCTCAAATTTAGTTGACTTATATAATTTGAGAATTAGACTAGACATCAAAAATCCTTTAATCTAATTATCTCTCTAAACTGCTTGGCAAGGTCATGTTTTGAGATATATATTTGAGGTGAGGGAGATATAACTCTCTAAATCAATGGTTATCAAACTGTGGGGCATGACCCCTTTAGCAAACCTTTATCTCCAAAAATATTTACATTACGATTCATAAGAGTAGCAAACTTAGAGTTATGAAGTAGCAACAAAAATAATTTTATGGTTGGGGGTCACCATACCATGAGGAACTGTATTTAAAAAAATGCAGTGTTAGGAAGATTGAGAACCACTGCTTTAGATAGTAAACAAGTGGGTGGCTATTAAAATGCCTTATTTCTCATATTAAATTAAATCTGAAACATTTTAGAGGTGTTTTTGGTTTTGTTTGTTGTTGGTTAATGTGTGTGTGTGTGTGTGTGTGTGTGTGTGTGTGTGTGTGTGTCTTTGGTCCTTTATTGGGGCTTGAACCCAGAGCTTCATTTTATGCACAGGTCAAGCTGCTCTGAAGACACATTGTGAGCTTACATCCGGTGCTTGCTTCTTCCCAGAATGCTGTGAGGTGGTGGGTGGGGCCCCACTAATCTCATAAATCCATATATGCTGCATATGCTCACCCCTTCCCAGCAGAATCTCTTGAACACTTTGGTTTCTAAGACACCAAGTTTACCTAGGGGGTTATCTCGTTCTTCTGGCCATTTCTAAGAGCATGGAACAGGGCTGGAGAGGTAGCTCAGCTGATACAGTGCTTGCCTAGCCTGGCCAAGCCCTGGATCCTATTCCCACCACCACACAAACTGGATGCTATAGAGCACCCCTACGATCCCAGCACTTGGAAGGTGGAGGCAGGAGGATGAGAAGTTAAAATTCATCTTTGGCTCTGTATTGTGTTCAAAGGCAGCCTGAGATATCTGAGAAATGGTCTCAAAAATAAAACAAACCACAAAAACAAAGAAAAGATAAGGTTATTCTCCTTTAGAAATTGGGACGAGGTAATAGTAGAGAATCAAAACCAAAGGGCTCCTTTTCTGTTTTCTTTTTCTTTTAAATACATATATAAAGAAAAAGAAAATACAAATTCGCATCACAGAAGAGGCTGTGTTATCCCATACCAATAAATAAGTCACAGTCTTTAACCCTGGGGAGTTTACAATCTGATAATGAAAGAGATCAGCAGCTCAGAAATAAACCATGGGGTAGGCGTGGAGTCCACTGAGCTGCTTCATGTGAGAGTGAGGAGGAAAGAGACAGCTCTGTGGCTGACTTCAGTGAGCAACCATGGGGGAGAAAACATCGTCACAAAGGTGAGAAAGACACAGAACACATTCCGCGGACAGTGAGCAGAATCTGGCTGGGTTTTCGTTTTCTTTCCTCATAGCAAAACTGGAGGCTTGCGGCCCAAGGAAACACTGTACCCAAAAATGTGGGGTCAGTGGGAACAGCGGAGACTGTTGCCTGCTGGGTTCTTCTGGAAGCAGGAGGCACAGAGAGGAAACCAGTGCTCCTGAGATTTGTAACTAAGCCTCCAGAGGCTAATGGGCCAGCTGTGGGTGGAGGAAGCTCAGAAGGAATGGTAGGAGTGTGGAGTTGGTGTCAGTTAAGTCTGAAAGAACAAAATTGGCCTCAGTGATGGAGGAAGAAGCCCCTCAGTTTGAGAGGCTGGAGATGTGGCTGCAGAGTTAAGATTAATATTTTTGAAAGACATCTAGGTAGGATGAAAGTCTGAATATATATGAGAAGTGTTTGCCAGAAGACGTTGAAGGAAAGGATACCTGAAGCCAAGACTGCCGAGAAAGGGGGGGGGGGGACTAAAAAAGAGGGGGGAGGGGCAGGAGCCAAGAAGCAGTAAGTGAAATTCATCAGACGATGGAGAAATGTCCTTTGCATGAGGTAGTCTGGTATGCGCAGGAGCCACACCACCACAGAGTAATACAGAATTAAATCGTTTAACAGACTTGGGGATGATGACCAAGAAAAGAGGCTGTCTCTCTAGGCCCTGTCACTTGCTTACCGAGTCCTTCAATCAGGTGGCAGTTCTTCGGTGCTGTGGACTTTATTTCTCGTGATGTGGCAACTCTTTCTCTACAGAGAAGATTAAAAATCAACATGGAGAAACCAGCATAGATATCAGAGTACTGCATCCCAGGTCAATGTCTGAAAAGACCTGGACGGCCTCCAGTCACTTTCCTGTTGTGAAAATTATGATGCCTCTTTTTTGGATGCCACACAGACGAGCAGGAAACACCTTTGGTTTATAGTTACATAATATGTCTCTTGTGAGCACTGTGCCCACCTAAGCTGACTTCCCAGTTATCACTGAGAGAATAAAGCACAATTCTACACCAAATACAAGACCCCGCTTAATGCCTGGTAGAAATGCACAATATTGTTCATCTAAATAAACAAACCAGCCTGACATCATTTTCTTAAATCTTAACTGTTATAAATCCGAATTTCCTCCCTTTCATCTCCTCTTGTTTCCTTTGACTTCCTTCCTCTATCAGGAGGTTAAAAAAATCCAAACTTCTATGAGGTCTCCAAGGACCTAAACCTGTAACTTTTCCTCTAAGTTTAATCTTTTCAACTAAGCTTATGCTGACTTACCTTAAAATATGTTCACTCATGGACCTGACCACCATTATAGCTGTTAGCCGACCTACCTTTCAGCAATGTTCTTATTTCTGCAGTGAAACATCCTTCTAAATGTTAGGTAAAACTTAAAATATGTATTAAACTTTATTCATGAAGACTGACGTTAGATTTGTCTTTTGATCACTTATAAAAAGTGCTCTTCAGGGATGGGGTAGTAACTCTGTGGGAGCGGGCTTGCCAGCCTGGCTGTTCTAGACGCAGGTATGTGTCTGTCTGTTCCTTACACTTACACTTGACAGTTCTGTCGTCTGTTGTTTGGGGAGCAAGTGGAACAGTAAGCACTCCCAAGCTGGACGAGAAAGTGCTGCCAACAGACATCAGGTATCTGAACAGATTGCAGCAGTGAACTGAGACCAGCCCCTGCTTACAGAAAGAAGAAAAGCAGGGTGGCAAGCCAAGGCCTTAGCCCTCCCCCACACCCCCCCAGGAATACGGCTTTAAAAAACTTCTTTAAAGAAAAGTTCTTTCAGACCAGACTGACTTCGCTTGAGATAGTTCTGGGGTGGCTGTCCCTGCGGAACCTTCTACTTCAAAATGTCAACCACCCTCCAAGCCAGTTCTGTCTGCAGAGTTCAGCTCTCTTCCTTGCTTCCCAGCACATCCTCCTGTGTGCCATGGGTTCCATAGCCCAGCACTTTCAGTGTCCGAGTCAGCTATAAATATCCAGCTGCTAGTATGGTCCCTCCCCCAAGTTCAGCACTTCCAAAGGACTTTGGTATCTCACAAGGGCAATGTATCAGAAGACCTGGAGAAGGTACCTAACCTTCAGAAATCAATGTGGGCTCTTCTACCCTGCCAGCCTGGAGAGGCAAGCAGCTCTCTGCTCTCCTAATGAGTAATTCTCAAGGCGAAGTTGACTGGTTGGCACTGAGGACTGGCACTGCTCCTTACCACCCGCTAGGAAGTTGGAAGCAGGTTGTCCTTATCCTAACTTGGATCAGAAAGGAAGAAAGATCAGGAGACATCTCCATGGAGCTGTCCACTCACCTGAATGTCAGAAGCCTCTCGCCTATTAAGGCCAAGCTGGCCCCCAGCACGGTCAGCACCACTAGCTTCCCCATGGTGTCTGGGTGCCTAGAGGCGATCAGCCTGAGCCTGGTGCCGCTCCCGGGAGGGGGCGGGGCGCACACGCTGTGTCCCCACCCACTGATCATTCCCTTGTGCCCCGCCCGCCTGAGGCTCCTGGCAGGTCCGCCAGTCCCCTGGCAGCCGTCAGCAGTCGCGGGGTCTTTGCTCTCTCCTGCTCCTAGCTCAAGGTCACCTCTGCGTGGGGGGCTCACAGCCACTTCTCTGTTTGAGTTTCAAGGACACTTTTGCTCTTGGGTTCAAGACCATCTTTGCCTGCAAGATTCAAAGTCACCTTTGCGCTGTGGTTCAAGGCCACTTAAAGGTACAGATTCCAAGGCTACCACTCCGTGCTAGGAGTTCAAGGACACTTTTCTGCCTGGGATTCGGAACTCTCAAGACTCAAGTCAGGGATCAGGAGCCGGTGACCTGTGGCTAAGGTCAGCTAAGCTCTTAGCAGATCTAGTTTGAACTCACAGTCCATGCAGGGCGGAGAGAGTTTGTTTCTTAAAGCCACAGAACTTAATTAACCTCAGCTCCACCAGTGGATGAAGGTAGGAGAGCTGCGTGGGAATCCAGAATTCAGAGACAGGGCTTCTGGGTTCTGGCAGGCAAGATGTATGAGGGGCAATTGCTCCTTTACCCCTAAAGGGGAGAAAACACTGAAAGCCAAGCCCCTTGACTCATCCTCCTCCAGGAATCGGAGCTCTGGACTTCGGCTCCGGACCTTCATGGTGCCATCAGGATACTGGACGTGATCAGAGTCCAAGTCCACCTTTCTGGGGACCTGGAGGATGAGCCTAATACAATAAAAATGACAGTTTCCATGGGAGAGTCTTGCTCTTCTTTCCTTTAGACTTTGGGTCCTTCTGGTGAAGAGGGCACTTTCCTCTCAGATAAACAATATGACTGGAGAGTCTGAAGATGGTGGGACACTTGAGTTTAGGGAACATTGCCCCTTTGAGCATCATATATTTTTATTTTTTAAAGGAGTAATAACAATATAATTCATTTTTTTAAAAGAGCAATTTTCTTGAAATGTGAAGATTTTATAGGTCTAAGATGTCATGAAGAAGGTAGCCCTTGACATATAGGGTACCTATGCAAAATATTGGGTGATGGACAGATGACTCAGCAGTGGTAAAGAACACTACTGCTCTTGCCTCTGCAAGAGGTTTGGAGAAAATGTTATGACATTAGTTCTTTCTCAAGAAGTATCTTGGTGCCAGGCAAAGCTCATTTTGTCCAGTACACAGTGTGCCAATGGCTTAAGTCTTTCAAGAGTTTATTCTCAAGCTAACTAAACAAAGAGAAGACAGACCCAGGTCTGGAGGCCACCTCCCTGAGGATAGGGCATGAGGATGTGTATGGTATAAAGAAGCAGGTGAAATCGACTTGGAAGTGAGACCACCAATAGTCAATGCACATATCTGTCTTTGTGGCCCTTCATGGAACACATGATTGTGCAGGCTTTAGCAGGATCTAGGGATAGAGTATAGGCCCCCTCTGTCAAAAGTTCTAAAGACTTGGTGTTCAATACCCAGAAAAGTAATTATGGCAAAAAGTAAATACCCATTGATCAAAGTGTCGTCTACAAAAGTATTACTAGTAAACCAATACACAGTTGCGTGGTTTTCAATATTAGTGATTAGTAGCATCAACTTGGAGAAAACAGTTGAGCACTCAGGAGGCTAGGACAGGAAGACCAAATGTCCAAAGCCAGGATGGGGCTAGACTCTCTAGTGAGACGCTGTTTTTTTCTTTGTTTGTTTGTTTGTCTGTTTGTTTTTGTTTTAGGTGAAGCTGGAGGGTTTGAGCAATAGCATCCCTTGTATTCCATCCTCTCAATGCTTTGAATGATTAAAATTTTTATGTTGCTTTCTGTTTTAACCAGAAACACAATTCCTTGTACTATGAACTTCTATTAAGAATTACAGATCTGGGCAAACAGGTCACTAATGGAACATTTGCCTAGCATGCACGAGGCCCCGGACTTCATCTCTAATACTACAAAACATAAAACTAAAAAAAAAAAATCTGAAAAATTATAATTAAAAGTCAGCAATGGGGAATTTTCTGTTTTATACATGTGAAGAATTCCAGGGCTGGCTGGAGAGATGTTTAGCAGTTGAGAGCACTGACTGCTCTTGCAGAGGACCTGGATTCAATTCCCAGTACCAAATGGCAGCTCACAACCCTCTGTAACTCCAGGTCCAGGGCAACTGATGTTTTTTCTGTTCTCCATGGACATTGTATGCACGTGGTGCACAAATATACATGTAGGAAAAACACTCAAATATATTTTAAAACAAAAAGAATTCCCATCCATAGAAAAAGGTCAATATCTTTAGAGAAAACTAAAGACAAGAAAGTTCAGTGAAACAATGTAATTCTCCTTACATATCTAAAGGAGCATATCCATCCATTCATTCATTCAGATAAGATCTCACTATTGTGAGTGGTCTGGAACTCACTATGTAAACCAAGCTGGCCTGGAACTTCCTAAGATCCACCTGACTCTGCCTCCAGAATGCTGAGATTAAAAGAGTGCATAATCACACCCAGCTAACAGAGTGTTTAAATTCACTTGTAACAAGAGAATAAGGCGTTGGGAATTTAGCTCAGTGGTAGAGTGCTTGCCTAGTAAGTGCAGGGCCCTGGGTTCGGTCTTCAGCTCTGGGGGAAAAAAAGAGTAACAAGAGAATAAAAATTAAACATATTAGAAGAAAACTGTTGAAAAGCAAGAGCAAAAGCTAAAAGAATACTAATGTGATCTCCAGGCCTCCCTTTCTTGCATGCAGAGGTTCTTTCATGAAAGCTGTTTCAGGAATGAAAAGTGTGAGAAGTCATTGGAAGGCAGATGAGGTGGGTTGGTGCTGGAACTCTTCACTGCTTTCCAGCACTGTATTCACCAGACGAGGTAGGTGCCTGCTTCAAGACAGACTGAAACTGAGCAACTCAAACCTAGTGAAAGGACTGTCTTCTGATTAGTTATCAGGAATGATTAACCCATGCAAAAAAAATGAAAATAATACCACACAGCTTATTTAATTTTCCTTGCTCATCATATTAAGTACTCATGTGTCATAAAAGAGCTGAAATTTTATTAAAAAGAAGAGTAAAAGTAAAGGCTGAAGAGATGGCTGGGTGGGTCAGAGTGTTTGCAAGAGATTCTGAGTTGGAATCTCCAAACCCACATAAAAGCTGGGCATGGCTGATGTCCCTGTCACCCAGTGCAAGCTGAAACAGAGCTTAAGGTATAAAATGAAGAACAACAGAGGAAGGCACTTGAATGCTCTCCTCTGGCCTCTGCAATCACATGTATGTGAACACATGCACACACACACACAGATGCACACACAGCGAGAAACAGACAGACAGACAGACAGACACACACACACACACAGAGAGAGAGAGAGAGAGAGAGAGAGAGAGAGAGAGAGAGAGAGAGAGAGAGAGAGCTAGTGTCCCAAATGTGTCCCCTAATAGTGCCAAATCGCAACTGCGACTGTGGTTTCTGTTGCTCTGGACAATGATGACTTAATCACCAAATCGTTCCTCTCAGTATATGATCATAAAAAGGTCACCATAAATTAATACACATTATACTTACAGTTGACAAAACAATCTCTCATACCCATTGATAGCCCAAATCAGGATTCATTAAAACCTTTCTTGTATGCCAGAGATAAACAAGGCATGTGCTTATTATTAATGCATGCCGACTTTAGCACAAATGAAATTTTGAAAAAATGGAATGGAAAGCAACTTTACTTGGTACCTATTGCACTTTGGTATTTCTTATGAGTGTGTCTTTTTAGATAGATAGCCATTGTTAACATCTCCTAAAATCGAAAACATTCCTTTCTTTGGTTGTGTCTTTAGGTAAACAATATTTAATCTTGCCTTATTCATCTGTGAACATTTCCCCCTTGGATAATGGAAGCAGCAAGAATCATTAATTTTCTTGACCTGAAATACACCCCCAATTTATTCTTAGCAGAATGAACTGAAAAATCGAAAATAATAAATAACAGAGAAATACAAATACAAATACAGGCTAAATGAACCAGAGCCCAAGTTTAAGACTACCTCTGCAATTTCCATTTTAAAACCATTAAATCATTTCACAAAACACAGAATTCAAATTGGTATCTTGGAAGGAAAGCCTCGGCAGAACACACTGTATACAATAGGGAATGGGTAACTCTGAAGAGCTGGTTCTATGGCAGTAACTTCATATCACTGCTAATGGCACAGGGTCCAGCATTATAAACAGATTGATATTCACCCTTAGGAGGTGTGTGACCTTGACCGGCTGTGGAATGTTAACAACGATATAATATCGACATCTATTCCCTCAAGGCTGCAATTAAGATTAAGTGAAATAAGGAGAGTGGTGCTTCCCAATTGTTGGACGTTTGATAACTAACTGACAAGCATCTTAATGATAATGAGGAAGATGGGGGGAAGTGAAACAAAAGGCTTTGACAATGGTGACAATGGTGATTTATGTGCAAGTTCTTTATAATAAAATTTTAATAAAGAAAACGTAAGTGACAACAGAAAGAAACACACTAAAGTCTCTCTTCAGGACTCTTCTTGGAGCTGGAGGGGGGAAAATGTTCCTCTTGTGATGTTGGCACCCTTAACCCTGACGGAGTATAGCCCTACCTAAGCAGGCAGGCTTGAACAGCTGACCACACCTCTCCTGGCTTCTGGTCATAGTACTGTTCACTGAGTAGGTAAGATAGAAGATGCCAACTCCAAGCTTTTACCTCCTCTTTGTATTGAAAGTGGGCTTCTATTTAGGAAGAGATCCTACAGGAGATGCTTTAAGAATTGAAAATTTGAAGGCTAGCTTTGGCATTGGTAAGTGGATCTCTGTGAGTTTAAGGCCACTTTGGTCTACACAACAATTTCCAGGTCAGACAGAGCTCTACAAAATCTATGTAATGAGATTTTGTTTCTAAGAAAAGGTAGATAAATAAAAATTTGAACTACAGTATTCAGTTGTTTGATTTTATTTTTCCAATAAAGAGCCCCTTTACATTGAGCTTTCATGAGAAATTAACATGA